TATATATATAGATATATAGATATATATATATAGATATATATATATAGATATAGATATATATAAATATATAGATATATATATAAAGATAGATAGATAGATAGATATAGATATATATATAGATATATAGATATATATATATAGATATATATAGATATAGATATATCATACAGATATATATATATATATATATATCATACAGATATATATATATACACATCATCGGTGTTTCATACAGACCTCTCTTCCTGGTCCCCTGGTGCAGAGGGCTGTTCAGGTAGCTCACTGCACTCTTTTTCCTCTGAAACAAGAAAACAAACAAGTTAAATGTGAAAAATATTAAGTCTGAAACCTCCAACCATCAAATGTTTCATGTGAATAAACGGATCAGCTGTAAATCTACACATCTGTGTTATTAAAGAGCAGAGCTGAACAACGCATCTGCACATTTTAAATTAAAGATCTGGAAAGTTTTTCTGCTCCATTTTCAAAATTAGACAAAACTCTCTTTAATGTGCATGATTATTACACTTTCTCTGTAGTTCTGTTGTTGTGCATATAATAAATAAATATCAAATATAGTAAGACAGCTAACATTGAAATTAAAGACAACTGTAGATATTTAAATATTATTTTAAATATCTAAAAGAAAGAAATACTAGAGGTAAAGAGAAATAAACTAAAGGGTTTCATACACTTCATAATACCATTTATCCTTTGATATCAAGTGTGTGAATGTGTGTGTATGAGGCTGTAGTTATAATACATAATATTTAAATAAAATAATACTAAAAAATGCATCAAACTCCCAAATGAAAGAAGCTGAAACGAGGAAACGTTTTATTCATACAAATGACATATTTTCTTATTAAAGACTTATTTTTGATTCTCTGTTTTTGTATGTCTGCATTTTGTCTGTGAGTCTGATCCTTTGGGCTCCGTCTGATCCTAAGAACATGAATATAAAGAAGGATGAATAAAAACAGTTTAGTCTGAGCCTCCTGAACCCGGCCGGTACCTCGGGTTCGAACACGGCGCCGCTGTAAACCGGGTTGGCCGTCGTTCTCCTCTTCCGCTCCTGTCTTTTGCTCTGAATTTCTGGAAATGAAAAAACACCAAAGTTAAGAAAACTTCACTTTCAGCTTCAGGATGTAAAAAGAGGAAACAAACAATCACATCACCTTCCAGGTGGTCGTGAGTCACGAGGCCCAGAGACACCATGAAGGCCAGTTTCTAGAGGGGACAAAGAGAATCAGCATCAGAGACACCCGGAGACATTTAGAGACAATCAGGAACACCCAGGGACACTCGGAGACACTACAAACTAAGCTTCAGTCACCAGTACAGACCTCTGGGTTCTCCTCCTTCTTGGGTCTGGGAGGAGGAGACAGTGGAGGAGTGGAGGAGGTGCTGACGACAACCTTCTGCTCTGCTCCTCCTGATTTAACCGTCTGCTGAGAGGAGAAGAAGAAACATAAAGTGACGTTAACTCACAAAGGGCGGTTTTTTTTTTCTGTGGTCTTGATTTTCAAAATAAAAGTCCTGCTCCTCTAACAGATGTTAATCATTAAAAATATGATACTCCTCCTCTCCTCTCCTCTCCTCTCCTCCTCTCCTCTCCTCCTCTCCTCCTCTCCTCTCTCCTCCTCTCTTCTCCTCTCTTCTCCTCTCCTCTCCTCCTCTCCTCTCCTCTCTCCTCCTCTCTTCTCCTCTCCTCTCCTCTCCTCCTCTCCTCCTCTCCTCTCCTCCCCTCTCTCCTCTCTCCTCTCTCCTCCTCTCTTCTCCTCTCCTCCTCTCCTCCTCTCCTCTCCTCCTCTCCTCTCCTCTCCTCTCTCCTCTCTCCTCTCTCCTCTCTCCTCCTCTCTTCTCCTCTCCTCCTCTCCTAACTTAATCACCACGAAACACCTGATTGAATGTAAAGTGCTGTAAAAAGAGGATTCATGTCAGAAACAGAGCAGCTTCACCTCTTTGATCGGTCAGTCGGGACAGTAAACCAAAGTCCAAAGCCCTTTGATCCTACCTTGGGCTCAGCGGTCAGGCTGCTGATCTGGATGGGCTTGGCGGTAGTCGGGGTGAGGCCGAGCGTCCCGGCGGCTGTGCTGGCGAGGCGGGCGACGTTGGCGGACACCGGCGTGGTGATGACGATGCCCGTAAGCGGGGCGGAGCCAGTCTTGCCGGTCTTGCCGGTTAACGACTGGCCGTTAACGATGCGGACCTGGTGGATCGGGGCCGCCGAGGGCAGCGAGGATGACAGCTTGGTGGCCAACATGACGGGCCTCTGGAGCAGCTGGGGGGCCGCCATCATGGGCGGGGGGGGGGCCGGGGCGATGTGGACGTTGGTGGGCGTGGCCGGCTTTGGCCTGACCTGGAGACAACAGACAGCCAATCAGAAAGGGACACCTAGAATGAGCCGACACTGCTGGGTAATGCCACTGTGGAGCTCTGCTGTACTAGTAATACTACTATCACTGATTCTACTACTACCAGAAACCCTTTTTATTGTCATATACTGTACATATACACGAAGTTTGACCTCTGCATTTGACCCATCCCTGTATATAGGGAGCAGTGGGCTGCCAATGACAGGCGCCCGGGGTGCCGGGGGTTCAGTGTCTTGCTCAGGGACACTTCGACACCTGGCACGTCCCAGTCGAGGATCGACTGGGACGTGTTGACCCTGCGGTTACCAGACAACCCTCTTAAGCCAGTGAGCCACGGTCGCCCCCGTCGGTGATAGTACTACTAGTACTATCAGTGATTCTACTACTACTATCAGTGATTCTACTACTACTACTACTACTACTACTACTACTACTACCGATTCTACTACTACTACTACTACTACTACTACTACTATCACTGATTCTACTACCACTACTACTATCACCGATTATACTTCTTCCCAGTGTTGGCTGGTAGAACATGTTCTCTGTAGAGCTGTGCCACATCCAATCAATTTCAGCAAACATCCCAGAATGATTTAATGCAGAAACATTTTCTGGGAGTCACACAGACAGGTGCTGAAGACACGCCCCCTCTGGGAGAGTCAGACAGACAGGTGCTGAAGACACGCCCCCTCTGTGAGAGTCAGACAGACACACACCTGGTGCAAGTGCTGACAGAAGCAGCAGAGTGAAGCTAGACACGCCCAATAGTAATATCCCAGTCACCACAGAAAGGTCTACCCTCTCCCCAGACAATGGAGATATTCTCATCTTTTTGAAAACAAATGTAAAGTTGTAGACCATTTCACAGTAATGTAACATTATTGTGTATTTGAATGACATAACCTGACAGGAAGTAAACATAGACTCAAGGGCATCAACATACCTCATGTTGCACTTAAACTTAACAGAAGTGAGTATTTTTTAATGTTTTATTTTTATTTATTTATTTAATTTTGTTTCAAATTGGACATCTTCAATATTTTTGTTTTTATGTAAGACTATAGCCCAAAGTTATTTGCTTTGAGTGTTCTTTAATTAATAAATGGAAAGCAAAGTTATATTTGACTCCTCCCCTTTTCTTTGCTGATCCGAACCATGACTCAAGAACCGTGATCCGAACCGTAAAGTTTGTGATCCGTTGCATCCTTATACACACACACACACACACACACACACGAACGAGATTCTTACTCGTACTATTGCTTCTAACCGTCCTGATGATGATGAACAATATGCTGGAATACATCTGATTTATTGCTGTTACATAAATGTAATTAATGGTGCTGTTAGAGCTGCTTGACTGATCCATTAACAATAATAGGGTGAATGCAGGAGAGCAGACTGTTTCTGAAAGGCTAAACGCCAACAAATATAGATTGAAGCAGAATATTTAGCCAGATAAAAACATGTGAATTCTGGAAATGATAACATCTATCTTTTTTAATTTAATGTTGACTTTTGGACTGGACTGGGCACGATCTAAAAATGGTAAAATAGAGCTTCCTCCCTTTATATTTGTGGTCACTTATGAACCACAACATATGTTTCTGTATCCCATTAGTATTTACATCTCAGGGCATCTCTCTCTACAGCTTTTCTTTGGATGACAACTTCGTATCGTTGGTTTTCTAAAGGCGACATCACACTACTAACAGTATTACTACAGGTGCTCACAGTGACATTACTCAACACAGGTAAACAACATGTTTCCATTTAAAGGGTTAAAACACACCAACAGCCAGGAACACACAATACCAAGAAGCTGCAGGAAAAACAAGCTCTCACCACAAAAGGTAAAAACACACTCAGACACATCCACAGGCAGGAAACCTTCAAAACATCCCGTTCACAGGTCAGTTGGAAAATTATAAAAAGCACAACGAGAGGAGAAGAGTAGAGGCAGCACAGAGCAAACAATGTTTTAGTGCCACGGAGCAAGGCATGAGTGTTTGCTTTGCTGCCCTCTGCTGGAGAGTGAGCAAGTCACATTAGGTGGGCCACACACACTGATCTGAGGATGTTAGGGTTGGAGGCGGGTCTTATAGGGACGCACCTGTGGCTGAAAGGTGGGTCGAGGCATCAGTCTAGGAGGAGGGACAAACTGAGGAACTTTGATTGGCTGGGCTGTGGTGGTGGCCTGCACCTGAGACAAAACCACAGCAGATGTGGATCTGTGGTACTGTTACACCGACGCGACTGCTGCCGTTACACAGACGCGTCTGCTGCCGTTACACCGACGCGACTGCTGCCGTTACACAGACGCGACTGCTGCCGTTACACCGACGCGACTGCTGCCGTTACACCGACGCGTCTGCTGCCGTTACACCGACGCGTCTGCTGCCGTTACACAGACGCGTCTGCTGCCGTTACACAGACGCGTCTGCTGCCGTTACACAGACGCGTCTGCTGCCGTTACACAGACGCGTCTGCTGTTGTTACACAGACGCGTCTGCTGCCGTTACACAGACGCGTCTGCTGCCGTTACACAGACGCGTCTGCTGTTGTTACACCGTCATGTTTGATGTTGTTGTGAATTCATTTCGTTTTGCAACTTTTTGATGTGTCCGGACATTTTCTTTCTCGGGACGTTGTGGTAAAATGACGCCTATCTTCGACCTCTACTAATCCTCTTCTGTTGTTTGACATGAACATGACTCCACAGCCTCCTGGAGCATCAACCACGTGATTAAAGAAACATCCTTCACCAAGAGCCGGGACACTTGTCAACTGAAGGGAGTCTAAAAACCCTCAGTCGAGATGCTCCTCTACACTCAGCAGTTCTCAGATGACAACACTCTACAATAACCCAGATTAGAGGAGACGACACATCACTGGACAGGAGGGTCTTACCACCATGGCGTTCTTGGATACCAGTCGCACCGGCTCCGAGCTCTGATTGGTCAGCTTGCTGGCCACCTGCAGGTTGATGGGGGCGTTCTGCAGGTCGGGTTTGGTGATAGCTGTGGTTACAATAGCGACAGTGGGCGGGCGTTGCGGCAGGGCGGCAGCTTTCAGCACCAGAGGTAGAGTCTTCGTGGTGAGGACCGGTGTGACCGTCAGGGTCTGTTGAGACAGTTAGGGTTATTTATCCCAGTGTTAGGATACTCAAAGAGTTAAGTTCATGAGGAACCGTCTTGGCCACCTGCACAACTACCAAGTTCCTACATTTCCCAGCATGCCATCTGATAAAAGAAGGGTTGGAACTTCACTCTTCACATTTCATTTTCAATATCAAATACCAAAACTTTATTACATTTAACAACATTCTCTACTTTTACTGGATTCTACATTGTCAGTTTTTGGACATTTTATCAAACAGAAGACTAATTAACTCTTAACTGTTAACTAACAAACTCATCTCACCCTAGTTTATGAATGTGTGTGTGTATGTGCTAATGTGTGT